CCCCCTCCGTTAACTGTCCCCCAGCGCTCCCGGGGCCGCGGGCCTGAGTTAACCCGTCAGGACTCGGCCTGGCTCCGCGGGGAGGCGGCGGAGTCGAGCAAGTCCTTCCTGTGAGTCGGACTTGAGTCGGACTTGAGTCGGTCGTTCCTAAACCCTGCCTGGCTTTGGGCTCTGCCTCCGCGGGGCAAGCGGCGGCTGCAGCTCCCAGACTTGGTCGGCCTAGTAGTAGGGCTCCCCCCATAAACCTTAAGTGTTGTTAAAGAAGAACATTATGGTCGGAGCCAATGACAGCGACTCCGGCCGACTCCATTTAAGCTTTCGTGGGAGGGAGCAAGTTAACTCGCTGAAGCAATCAAAGAAAAGCGTGTCTAGGGTTTGTAATAATCTGTATCGGCAGAAGCAAAGGAGCATGTTCAAGTTCACTGGTAACTTGGTGGTGTTTAGAGACTTAACTGGAGACTCGTGCTGTTATTAGTGTAAATAGCCGTGAATCAAACAGATTTCAGATTACTACAAGCTCCTCGTGTAGGAGTCTTTCGGGTACATATAGCTAAGCTCTGATTTAGTAAAGAATGACAGCATCAATAAGATAGGTGTTGCAGGGATCGGGACCTCGAAGAGGACCCCCGAGTTAAAATGGAGATCTCTAGGGTACTGTAGCAGAAGTCAGTGCTTGGGAAGTGTAAATGAAAAATACATACCCACTGGGTGAAAAGCTGCCTCAAGGTAGTAGCAGCTTCAGCGTGCTTATGGATAGTGCACACAATTAAGTTTTTCTTGTGCTGTCGTCAAACCATTAATTTGATGGCGGTGCCCTGGCAAAACCTAGTATAGTTAAAGCTGAAGAATCTTTGTAATGTACATAAGCTGTCAGAAGCCCTGGAGGTGTCTTCATCCAGCTGGAAACTAAATTCTCTTTTGATGGTAGGTGTTTATAGTTTCAAAGAACTATTTCAATTTTCTGTCAGCAACTGCTCAAACTTGTATAAAACAGTGCCTGCAGCCCCATCGCGGCTACAGTTGTGTTCTTTCTTGTTTGCTTTCCTCTTAGCCCTAGCATTCCTTTCCTCTCGTACCCCTGCACCCCCACCCCCACCCCAGGTCCAGCTTACATGGCATCAGTGAAGAATGCAGCCATCTAACTGGCAGTCTCAAGGTCTACCTGTCTGCTAAGTCCTAAGTATCTGCTGCCTTGCTCTGGAAGGTGGGAGACATTCTGAGGAGAGCCTTGATTCAAGGCTTCCTTTGCAAGTGCTCTATTAGACTTTGGTATGAAAGGTATTAGCTTCTTTTCCTTTATTTTTTCTGGTGAAAATAGCCACTCTGTTTCTTATAGAAATTGATGTTAGTACCTGTGAAATGCATTTGTGTGGCAGTGCGTTTGTGATCCTCTTCAGAGTGTGCAACTACAGTTCTGCCTAGTTTCTGAGGCTCAGACGGTAACTCAAAATACTACAGTTCTGTCTGTGTTTAGTGCTTAATGACAGTGTTTCCAGATCCAGCAGTTTCAGGCAAAATAATTGCCATGGGATTGTTCTAGTCCATTCTGGAGAATTACTGGTTTGAATTTAGGAAGACTCGGCTGGTTGGCTCATTCTTAACGTGGATGTAAGTCCTGAGCAGACTGCATGAGGTTTCTGACCCTGTACCCTTTTCACAGTAGAGATGGATTAGTCGGAAGAAAAAAAAGGGTAGGTTCTTTTTTCCTTTTCCCCCCCCCCCCCTCTCCTATAGTATTTGTTTAGGTTGGATTCCTAGGGAAATAAAGGTGATGTAATAACACTGTGCTTTCCTTGTAGAGGCATGAGCCTTCTGACTAGTCTCAACCATGTCTGGAAGAAGGAAAGAGTCTTGCAGATGGTTAAGTTCCTATTAGTTTTGTGAAATTCAGCAGCTGGGTAGAGTAAAGGGATCTGATCTAAACTACCTTCCACTAAGAGGAAGCAAAGGGAGAAACCAATGCAAAATTTTCCACTTGGCAGTAAACTTTCCATTTAGTTCAGTTGACTTGGGTAACTTGGCTGGTAGCTCAGATTAGCTGTGGTTCTGCTGACTCTTGTCTGATCAGAGTGCGGGAGGGTGGTTAAAAAGACATGACTGTAGGAACGTGCAGCTCTAGGAAACCAGGCTATATTTTTTTCCTATTTATGGAGATTGGAACACCTTGAATTCGTGAGCTTTTTGTAGAAAGTCAGGAGGTCTGAAATTTCCCATGATATTAGAACTACCTTTTTTTTTTTTTTTCTTTTTTGTCAGAAAATTAATTCATATAAGTTCATATTCCTGGACACTTCTGAAGTATTATAGAACTATTGTGCCCATTATACAGAATATTTATAAAGTGCAGTTTAATTAGAGATCCTTCATATAAATATGGCCACACTTTCCAGTGCATTTCCTTGAAACAAACCTGTTTGGTAGGCTCAGTTTCTATCAATAACAATTTCAATGCCTTTCATTATTAAATTTATGAACAGTTGCAGGCTTTAGAAGGAGAAGGGAAACTCGGGGCTTAAATTTTTAAGTAAATTTCTTGGTAGAGATCAAATGAAGAAATGCAAAACTTTGAAGACTTTAGAAGAACTTGGTGCAGAACAAGCATAGGTGTTTGAATGGGAAGCTTCACAAATGTAGCTATAATAGCTATATGAAACCCTTAAACTGAAAGCTGTAAAACTAATTGGAGGGGGAAAATGGGGGCAAAAGAATGTTCTATAAATAATTGGTTAAAGTAGAACTTTCTGGAATACTACTTTTTCCATTGTTTTTAAAACCTCTGAGAAGAGGAGCAAGACTCAAACTTATCTTTGGTTTCTTTCCACAAAGAACATGAAACTTACTCTGAACTTCTTCTTTATCATTTCAGATGTTGGATGAGAATAATCATCTTATTCAGTGTATAATGGACTATCAGAACAAAGGGAAGACGTCTGAATGCTCACAGTAAGACCTTAATCCAAATCTACTGTGGACTGGGTGAATTTCCATCTAGATTGCCGTTCTTTATTTGTTTAGCTCACCCTGTGGGAGAACTGTGCTGTGAAGAACAGAAAAGTATTGCTACAGATACTACACTTAAAATTTATGGGGTTTTGATTTGCCATATGACTATCACTTCTGTCACTGAAATGTTGCAACTTGCCTGCTGCAAGTTGATGTCATGATGATGACACCCATGAAAATGGGGACTGTATAACCAAGATCTTTTTCCTCTGCATCATAATTACACTTTGGGAAAGAGGTAGTTTTCTTCTTAAACCTTTCAATCTTGTAGGAATGGACCTTTCTTCTTCCTGACAGCATGCTTGAAAACTACCTGCTTACCACTTGCCCAAGATCATGGCACCCTTGTAATCAGACAAATACAGAGTCATGTGACAGATGGGGCATCACAGTATGGCTTGAGTCGCTTACTGAGAACTGGTAGTCTGGGAGTAGAAGGGGGGTCATAAATAGTAGATATTTTTGCTTTAAGGGAATGCTTTTATTGTAGCATAGTTACTGTATTAAGCTGTTTACAAGCCTATAGTTATGTATGTAATCTGTTCCTGCTTTCAAGGTTATTTTTGTGACTGTGAGCTAGATGTTGAGACTGGAATGTGTTTCTCTAGCAGAAAAAATCATTCCATAGCAATCTTCCAAAGTTAAGGGTCGTGATGAAATGTTTGCGCTGTTCTTGGTCACAATTCACATAAATCTATGGTATCTTGTATCTGGGGGCGTAATAGAAGGAGCTTTCTTTCCCTAGTGTTTGTGATGAAAATTACACCAAACAGCCACGCACACTCTATATGTCTCCTGGTGACTGGGACAGAAAGTGAAATAGGTGAGAACAGTGTCACCCAGCTTTAGATTTTTCATAGCAAGACAAAAGTTGTAGAGAAGATAAAAGCACAGATTTGATGGGCACATTGGGAAAGATTGGGTAATAGGTAAGCGTGAGGGAAAAGGCTTAGGATTCCTAATAATGATACTCTTGTAAGTCTCTTGACTCTTGTTTTACATAGGTAACTTTCCTTACATGTGTAGAATTAAAGTAAATTCTGATGTTATTTGTGACTTAAGATCTGTTTTGCTTTTGTTTATTTTGATAGATACCAGCAGATGCTGCATACAAACTTGGTTTACCTAGCCACTATAGCTGACTCCAACCAGAACATGCAGTCTCTACTACCAGCAGTAAGTACAAAATAGTGTAAAAGTAGGGAATAGATTTCATTTGGGTTACTGGAGGATAACAAAAACAAAACCAAAGAGAAGTGTTTGAGGTAATGACCAAACGTTTAGCCTCTGGTTTACTGTACAGCGAATATATGATGCAGTGTCTCTTCATGCTCTATTTGGAATAATCTTACTGCTTAGGTCTTGCTCAAAATCTGACTTGTTTAACTGAAGACTGTTATTCTGAATTAAACGCGCAGTGCACAGATTATTTGGCCTGCCTCATAGTCTTAGATTTCTTTTTTTTCCTCAACTGAGAACTCTAGTGGTGTGGCTCCTACAGCAGTACTCTGTTTTTTTCTCTTACATTAGAGAAATGTGGTGGTGGGGATGGTATTTCGCTGGCATATCATCCATTGTTTTGCCTCAGTGGAATGAGGTTGGGTAGATCTTTGCTTTTCTGTACTCTAGGTGAATCTCTTAAATTCTTTGCCTGTCTCCTGTATCAGAAAACAACCTTTTTTAAGGTGGATAATGATAATATGCAAGAAATACGGTCACACAGGCTTAACTTGAAACACCACATTGCTTTAAAAATGAAGCATTTCTTGGATAATACTTGCTTTTTTTTTTTTTTTTTTTTTTTAATCTGGAGTTTTCTGAATCTGTGTTCCTGAACTCTTTATTTTATAAGATAACCTCAAATTTTTCCCCCGTTCTGTTACAGAGCAGTAAGGAAGGACACAACAAACATGAAAATAGCTTGCTATCTGTTTGCTTTTTGTGTTAATTGGAAAGCTTGGAGAGTTCTTTGTGAGTAACACAAGGAAGTTCTTTATTTTTTGGTAGTGAGACTTTTCTTGAATTAATATAGTCTTGATTCATTTCTGTAATATGAACCTAAAAAGGATGTCTATAAAACAGCCATTCCTAGATACTAGCTTTCACCAACTGAAATTGAATTACTTTTCCTTTGGTCTCTGGAGAAGTGTTCTCCAGTCATTGCTACTAGTGAAGCATCCTTTCAAGTTGGTACCTAGAGGACTATAGAAGCAGTGCTTCATTATGTCCAACCTGTTGTGCCTGTAGAGGCTTCTCTTTTCATAAATCCATGCTTGTAGTTGAGGGGGAGGGAAAGAAACCTTTAAGAGGGCAGTGTGTATTACTCAGTTAATGTTTTTGGAGGCTTAATTCATACCCTGGTTCTGATGACAACTGGAAATGAATTTGACCTTATCCTAGTCCCTGGTGAACAGCCCTGTTCTTAAAGTTGAATGTGATGACATTCTCTTCTTAAAAGAAAATGAAGATGGGGCCAGGAAAGACTTTTGCAGATCAGGACGGAAGTGCATTTCTGATCTTGAATGTAAAGAATATTTGACAGTAGTGAGAAAATAGTGTAGTGTGTTTTTGTTGGGGGTGGGGGGAGGAGTCCCCTTCGGACAACTGAGGGGGGAATAAAAAGCTAGCTTCTTGTTTTTTCTGTCAAACTGAAATACAAAATGAAATTTAGATGTTCGGTCTTACCTAAGTGTAAACCATCTGACCTACCAAGTCAAATCTTTGAAGATTTGCCTGAAATGTGCTAACATAATAGGATAAAATGACTTTTTATAGGGGTTTTTAGAAAAATGTTCTTTAAATTCTTTCTGTCTTCCCAACAAATTTTAACCAGAAGAATTTGGGAACATGTGATATACTGCTTTTTTCAATGCAGGATAAACTATGTCAGAGTCTTTTTCCTTTATTGGCTTTCTGTTTAAGAACTGATGAGGCTCAAGTTGACTTGGAAGTATTATGTTTCTATTCACCATGCTTCTGTGTCAGCTGTTGAACGGTCTTACTAAATTCAAGAGTTGTGGGTGGCAACAGTTAAATATGGAGCAAGATACTGTGTGTGTAAACATCTACTATTTTTAATAGTAAAATACATCAACCATTGCAGTAGTTCCCCACGTAACTTAGGAAGGCTTGAGTCTGGATAGCTTCTGAAGTTGTACTTCATCTGATATATTCCTATCTGGAAGATTGTTCCCCTAGTAAACTATGCTTTCTTTTTTGTTTAAATTTTATTGTTTTTGTTTTAATTGGGTAAATACACTCAAGAAATTTTGAAACTTAACTATTACTTTTTATAAAATGCTTTATGTGATAAAATGAGGTTGAAAAGAGAATACCGCTAAGATAGCATTCACACTGAACAAAAGAGCTAAGTGATCAGGTTCAATGAAGTTTTTAATGTAAGCTAAAATGACTTGAACTTGATGATAACTTTGTTGTATCCTCTCACGATGCTCCTTAGACTTAATGCTTCATGTTGTTGGAGAAAAATGCTTGTAGTCAGCTTCTGTGCCTCTGTCCACATCTTTTAGAATGCACTATTCTAATCAAATGACTGTAAATCCTTTCTGAAAGTGTGGTATTGCCTGTAGAGAACAAGATAAATCTTAGACTAAACAAAAGTATAGTCAACCAACTGTGTTGTGCAGAGAAATGCTTCTATAAAGGGGGCCTGGAAGTGAGGAAAACGTGAAGCAGGTGAAGCAAGCATTGCAAGGCGTGATTGAAGGAAACTGGAAAGACTTTGAAACTCCAGTGTCATAAGAAAGCTCCTGTTGTCTTTGTATGCATGATAAATTTAGAGTATTAAATTATGACTTCTGGGGTACGAGACCTTCCTTCACATCAGAAGACAAAAGAAGTGTGAGGTTAATCTTCAGTCAACCAGTCTTTTCTCAGCCGTGTGAACAGCAGCATTATTAAGGGCAGGGCTGTTTTGGAGTGTCTTCCCAGCTGGACTAGAGTGGTGGCTAAGTCCACATGTGAAGTTGATGCAACTTTTTGCTGTCTCTTTCTGAGTCATGGCAGGTATTCTCTTTCTTGGACAGCAGTCAAAAGTCTGTTTACCACCACCATATGGGATAAACTAGCTTCCCAAAAAGGGCTTGAACAGTGAGGAATGCAACACTGCTGTGTTCTTTTGATTTTCATTGGTGCTACTTTTGAGGGAGGCAACAGCAAAGTATTAGTTTCCTTGATCTGTAGAGAGCAGAGATACAATTAGTTTGTTACTGCGACTTTCAGGAGAACCTCCAAAGAATAGTAGTGAAGTATTGTGTGCGTGTGTTTCTGAATACATTAGGTCTCAAACTGCAGAACAGACAGGCATCTTATCCTCCCTGACTTTTATTTATTTTTTGTTTTCTTGATAGAGAATGTTTTAGTGGCATTAAAAAGTCATTGCAAACTGTTGAAAAAAAACCACAGAACAACAAACCACCCCAAACTTTGCCACTTGGACATTTTCCCTCCCCCATATGTCTTCATTTTGCCAAATATTTATAAGAATACATCCCATGACTGTCACTATTGGAAAAAGTACAGGGGAATTTTTGTCCTGCACTCCAGCCTTTTCACTTTGGCATTAGTTTTGCAACAGGCAAATATTGAGGTCTGCAGGAATTATTTGATTGAGAACATTTGTTTTGTTTTTTTTAAACACAGAAAAAATGATTTTATTTTTCAGAATTTTTTTTACATAATGCAACTTGCCTTCTGCCAGCATGCAAAGCACTTGATTTCAGTGTGTATTTCAAGAAGGTGATGAAAATAAATGCTTATGATTATTACTCGCTTCTATAAGGTACCAGTTTTCTTTTATATTGAAAGTGCCAGTTTCTTCTAGTAGCAAGCTAAACTCTGTGAAGTGGCTTCCAAGAATACTCATTGTGTGAATTGTAGGAAAATGTGCACGTCACATTAAATTGTTTTTCTTAATTTCATAATATTGAAAAGGTTATTAATAAACTTAGTAATAAAAAAGGAATTTTTTTTCTTGAAATACTTCTCTCAAATCTAATGCTTTTTGTAGGACTTGTAAAATCCCTTAATGTATGCTGTTTCCAAACTTGTCACACAGATTAGGACGGAAGTCCATGCCATTTCAGTTACAAAACACTAATATATAAAATGGTTATTGCTTTTTACAAACACTCAACATCAACAAACACTGAAATGATAGTTACTTCCAAAGAAACTGCTTCAAGAGGTAGAACCATTAAACATCATTATTAGCACCTAACTAAAACTTTTCTTCAAGTTCCTTATTGGAAGATGGGGTTTTTTTGTTGTTTGTTTTGTGGTGTGTGGTTTTTTTAGTTTGTGGGTTTTTTTAAAAGCTGTGGAGTTCGGGTGGCTAAATAGGAGTCTTCAGTGTAAGAATGGTTTCACTCAATCAGTGGAAAGTCCCATATGATCTTAAATGCACTTTAGTATTTTTCAAAGGGGCAATGTTCAATCTGTGGCTTTAATGTACTTGTGATTAGTTTGTTGAAACAATTCAGAGTCTTAGGAACCCAACAGTGCACTTTTTTTTTTTTAGTAGCTTTCATTTTGAACGTAAAAGTTGTCTAAAATACATATGTTTATTGAATTATCTTGATACTGTTTTTCTTGAAAAAAGCAAGATGGCATCCAGAAAAGAAAAATATGGCTCAGTTTTAACAGCTTAAAATAAAATTTGCAGATAAAACTCCTGTTACTGAAGATGAGAGAAATCCTAAACTAATAAAATTCTTGTCCAGTTATGTAGCAAATGCCTGGGAGAGTCTGATATCTGTGGTAATATAGCAGAAAGTCTGTTCTTGGTATCTGCATTCCTGCTGATCACAGCCGGCACTGGTCTTTATACAGAATTAAGCCAGAGGTTTATATTGAATGTTAGTGTGTTGGTTGAATTAGTTTTAAAGCAGATACACTATACTGCTTTGTTTATTCTGCATTAGCCTTTCAGAACACAAGTCCATGACAAATTCAAGTTCCACTGTTTGTAAACTGAATAATATATAATAGAGAACAGAGCAAAAGAAAACGTAGCATGTTTCCTGTCAAGAGACAAGTGAGCTGTTGGTCAGAAGTGGAGCTTGGATTTTGAAGAATAATTGCTCTGATTAAATGTTTGTTAAACAGTTTTCAAAAATCATAATAATTTCTGAAGACTTTTTAGAAGAGAAACATTA